GAGAGAGAGAGAGAGAGAGAGAGAGAGAGAGAGAGAGAGAGAGAGAGAGAGACACCTGGGGTTGAACTCAGGGCCTTCGCACTAAGCTACATCCCCAGGCTTTTAAAATTATTGTTCTTTTAAATTTTGAAACAGGGTCTCACTAAGCTGCTAAATTGCCTGGGCTGGCCTTAAACTTGTGATCCTGCCTCAGCTTCCCAGAGGGCTGGAATTATAGGCATGCATCTCCATGCGGGCGCTCTTGCTGGTTTTTAAAGAGCATTTCCCCCAGAGTGATTTCTAGCATCAAACAGTTTTCTTGAAAGTGGAGAGACTGATATCCAAATAGTTTCAAATGGATAGAAAAAAGAAATTTAGCAAAATGTAGTATTCAGCAAAATTTAGATAATATATGCCAAATTTAGATTTATATTGCTTGTGTTAACTTGCAAAGACTACCACCATCCAGTCCAATTGATCATCATCATATCTGGCTTGGACTTCTTTCTGTTTTTAAAGTTGAGATATAATTCATAGACTATAATATTCATCCTTTTAGAGTGTAGGATTCAATGGCAATTAGTGTATTCCTTCATAAGATTAAGAAATCATCATTACTAAGTCCAGAAATTTTCAAACTCCCAAAAGGAAACCCCCATAGTTATTATAGTCACTCTTCACTGCCCCAGGGAACTGTAATCTATTTCCTGTCTCTTTTGAGTTGCTTAACCTGTACCTTATTTATAAATGGAATTATATCTTATGTGGCCTTTGGGTTCTGCTTCTTTTACTTAAGAGAGTGTTCTCAAGCTTCATCCATGTTACAGAATTAACATTCATTCCTTTTTAGGGCCTTGCCATGGATTTTTGCATTGATTGTCCTCTTACCTGCTTTCTCTGTTTCTCCTGAGGTCCCCCAGGGCCTGCTCTCCACGGAGGGCAACGTGATCTTTTTTCAAATATAAATCAGATACTTTCACTTCTCTACTTAAAATCTCCCAAGGGCTTTCTATTTCACTTAGGAAAAAAAGTTAAATTCCTTATCATGGCTTGTAAGACCCTTTCAATGATCAAGGACCCATCCTACCTACTTCTCTGACCTTAGCTCCCTCCCACACTCCACTCATTCATTCTGAGCCAGTTACGCTGACTTCTTGCTTATTTTTTTATTTACTTGTTTATTACCTGACTCTCCTTGAAAATCTACCAACTTTATCAAGACAGAAACTTTAACTCATTAGCTCACTACTATATTCCAAGGTTCTAGAGTGGAGCCCAGTAGTTGCTCGGATGCATGACTTCTTGCCTAGAATTCCCAAAGCTTCCAAATTTTGCCCCTACTCTTAGTTTCTGAAGCTGAGACCCTTTGCCTGTTATACTAGACTTCCTTATTGCCAACTACTGCCTGACTCAACTTCTATCTATTGCTGATTCACTGATTCTCTGGACACCCCACTGTCCTGCCTTCTAATGCCTTCCGTGACAACTTTCCAGGTTAACTCTACCACAAGCTAGTAGGTTTCACCAATCTCTAAGCCCATGACTTACCTGAGCCTCCATTTTCAGCAGGGTGCCAGCAGACAGCAAAGTCATGTTGCTAATTTGTAGTAAAAAATGCAAGAGATAATAAATGAGAAGAATCGGCATGATATTCAAAATCAAGCTTTTATCCAATCACTTTCTCCAGTTTGGAACAGAAATACAGAAATAGTGCACTGCTGATGGAGCATATGTACACAAAGATCAATTTAAATGAGTGTGAACTTCTAGGTACAGATTGGAACACTTGTAACTAAATTATCAAGGCTCCACCACAGAGATACAAGATTTAGCTTCTTTGGAAAGCTTGAACAGAAGACACCATGCAGTCAGCTTCCCGTTAGTCATTTGTTCCCAACCTTTGTTCCTAGGAAAATAAAGAACCTATCTGCCTGGTCAGCTTTTCCATTGCTGGGACAAATACCTAACACCCACAATTTAAAGGAGGAAAGGCTTGTTTCAGCTCACTGTTTGAGGTTTCATCCGTTGTCAGCTAGCTCCAAGGCAGAAACATTATGGCAGGAGGACATGGTGGAGGAAAACTGCTTGACTCATGGAATCCAGGATGCAGGGAACAATGGAGAAGCCAGAGAGGAAGGGGCCAGGGACCAGACATAGACCCCTAGGTCACACCTCATGATCTGCTTCCTGCTGGGCCTTATCTCTTTTTTAAAAAATTAATTTTATTGGTACATTTTAGATATACAATATAATGGCATTCATCATTGGAAATTTGCACCTTTACATAATCTCTCTTGATCCTTATTTTTCCCCATTCCCCTGTCCTCCCTTCAACCCCTCCAACCCACCCTATTTGCAAAGACTTCGTTTCCATGTTTTCACTTTCTCATATTAATTCCATTCCCTTCTTTCCTTTCCCCTAGCTCTCCCACTTCCCCTTCCCCTTTGCCCCTTTTCTTCCTATTTCACATTACCTATTATACCTTTTAGTCCTTATTTACACTTTCAGTTTCTCACACTAGAGAAACTATTCGGTATTTACACATGTGTGTCCTATTTATTTCACTTAAGAGTATCACCTCAATATGCATCCATTTAGCTATAAACGTCTCTAGTTTGTCATTTTTTATGGCTGAGTAGTACTCCATTTTACAAAAACACCACATTTTCTTTATCCAGTCTCTAGTTGATGGGTAATTGTAGGCCCTATCTCTTAGTAGCTCAATCAGCTATGAACTTGTCAGTGGGTTCATAGCATCAATGAGGGTAGTACACTCACAATCCCATCACTTCTCCAGAGGTCTAATCCATTCAGGGTGACAATCAAAAATAACCAGCCTGCTGCCCATTGCTCATCCATCCGCTTTTAACACCAAGTCACATAACTGCATATGACCTGCAAGTCTGAAAGTCTTTCTTTAAACATTTCTTTAAAAATACAAACTCAGGGCCAGAGATTTAGCTCAGTGGTTCTGGTGCCTGCCTCACAAGTGCAAGGTCCTGAGTTCGATCCCCGGTACCAAAAAAAAAAAAATCAAACTCAAAAAATAAAAATAAAAATATAAACTCATATTAAAGGTAATAAAGGAGAAGCCATAGAGAGAAAATATTTGTTACATATTTGACCAACAAAGGTTCCAGAATACATAAAACAAAGAGAAATCAAAGAGAAAAAAAAACCCTAACAAAGAGAAAAAATGAACAAAAGAGATAAATAGATATTTCACAGAAAAAGAAACAATAATGGTCAATATACTTATGACAAGATAGCCAATCTCATTAGTAAACTAGGAATTACAAATTAAATCTGCAAGGAGGTGTCACATCTACCTGATTGGCAAAGATTTTTGCATGGATGTGCAGCTATGGAAATTTCATTTAACCATTGGCTGGGGTGCAAATTGGTGTAACATTTTGGAAAAGTATTTATAGTTCAATGAGATCACTCCCTATCACCAGTAATTCTTCTCAAGTACAAACCTCAGAAAACTCTAGCACATATTCACCAAGGGACACATAAAGGACATTCAGAGCAGCCTGGTTCATACAGAAAAAGCTTGCAATGCAGAAGTTGTTTCTTTTACTGACCTGCTAGTGGTACAAAAAATATTGAACCCGCTATCTCAGGCTTCTCTTTTCTCAGTAACATCTCACACCACACTGGCTGCTGAGACTAGTGATCTTTCAGCAGACTTCTGGGAGACACAGGGAAGGGAAAGGGGAACCAGAGCCTCATTCCTCCTCTCCTCTCCTTAGGTAATTCACCCCTTTGCATTGCTTTATTTATTTACCTACTTAGTTACTTGTTACTACTTTGGGAATAAATCAAAGTGCAAACAATCTGGAATCAAATCTATTCTCCTCCACCCTTGGACCTTACAAACTCTTTCTCTGGTGCTTCCTGCACATAAAGAGCTTAAAAATGGTAGCCATTATTTTTTCACCTGTTCTGTCAGGGTTTTTACTCTTGCCTTCCTTTGTTTAGGGTTTGGGGTCCTTTACCAGATTCTAACTTCCTTTCAGAAAGGTTATACTAATATTAAATGTTATACCCTCAAAGCGCATGCCTTGTTCACAGTGATTGTAGTTTAATGCCTGAGGCACCAAAACTCCGGAGTTAGGGAGAAATGTCTTGGTGGAGTGCAATGGCCCTCGGCGCCCTCACAGGCCCAAATCCTTGAACAGATTTTTCAGTCTTTCTAAGCACCATCAAATAAGAATCTTTTTACATATACTTCTGCAATACACTTTACAGTAGTTTTATAATACTTTTAAAAATCTTTGTTACAGTGCTTTTACATCCCAGAGAAGTGATGAATATTAAATGAAATAGCATGAGAAAGCACATGACATCAAATGCCCCTGTAAAAATGTGAATGTACTGTACTTCCTGCCCTTTCCTCAGCGTACCTCGCCTTTCAAAAAGAGGTCAGATAAGATCAGAACTGTATCAGCTGGTGTCCTGGAAGACACTGCTGCTTGGACATTTCCGCTAAGGAAGGAAAGGAAATCACGGGGAGGGTGTGGAAGTCAGCTGAAAAGGCACCAGCAGCAGAAATGATCAGAAAAAGGAGCTACTTGAAGCTTGTCCACGGGACAACCTCACCCTTAAGGCGGGGCAGAAACGTGTGTGCGGCGCGGCCCCAGCAGTCCTTTCTTCTTGACCCTTGGAGAACAGACACCTGCAGCTCCCTAAAGGGTTTCAGACTTCACAGGAATTTAGAGAGGGGACAATAGCCTCGACCTCACCGTGAAACCCAGTATTGCACTAGGGTGTACCAGATGAACGGGGAAAGCAGAACAGAGGTGCTGGGTCAGACGGACGTCCTCGAGGTCGCTGTCCTGCTCCCCCCCAAATTTTTCCCAGGTGGGAGTGCATGTGACTGTTTTCATTCCATTGCCCTCCGCCGCAGAGCGAGGGCGTGTGCTGCCCTGACTCAGATACTCGAGCCAGGGGGCGCGGGCCGGCTGCGGGGTGCGGCGGGGGCGGGCAGCGGGTCTGGGTGACGCGCAGGAGGCCGGGGGCGGGAGGTGACGCGCGAGGGGACAACAGCGCCCCGGCCGAGCCGAGCCTGAGATTTAAAAGTTGGCGGCGCGGGCGGTCAGTTCGGTGGACGCGAAGGCTCGGCCAGGGCACCCGGCTTGGCAGCCCCGAGCAGCCCGCAGGGGCCGAGATGCTGGGAACTCCCAGACGCCCTGGGGCGTACCCCGGACAGGTGGCCGCGGTGCCCCCTCTGCTGCTGCTGCTGCTCCTGCTTGCCTGCTGCTCGGGCGCCGGCCGAGGTGAGATGCCCCGCGCCCCCAGCTTCTCTCGCCTGCCCCGCCGCTCTCTTTACTCCCTCCTTCTCTTTCTTGGCTTCTGGCACTTACCGTCGCCTCCTGCAGCGGGGTTCCCAGATTCTCGCCCTTGACGACAGCTGCAAGTGCAGCCAGCGGCTCAGGGGCGGGTGGCCGGGCTGCAGCGCGCTTCGGACCCGTACCCAGAGCCCCCTCCGGCTCGGGATTTCCAGCCATTGGGTTACGGGAATCGAAATAGTGAATATTAAAATGCTTTCCCTTTCAATACAATTACTTCAGGGATCGATGATCGACGCAAAGCAAGAGTTTGCTATTTCCCTTGCTAGATGAGGTAAACTAGCAGTGCGCTCACCTCTCAGGCGAACAAGCTCAGGCTCTGTTCAGGTAAGCCGAAGCAAGCCGGTTAGGAGGGGGCAAAAAAGGGCGAGCCTTGTGTCTTACAGGTTCAGCTTCTTAGGCACTAGGTGGGTTAAAGGAATGGAGACTTTCTCATCACACAAAGTTGGAGAAGCAGGCATGCAAAGCTGGGCTTTCAGGCAATGCACAGCTAAAGCAGGTGAAGGAGATGTGATTTGATAACAATCTGGACTTCTTGAGCCTGGCTTAGAGGAAAGAAATAGGAAAAGCAAGTGGGAGAGGGAAGTCTGTGACCAGGTGCTAATGCACCAGTGAGGAGGCCACTTCCCTGGCTTTCTAAAGCTTACATTGCCAGGTATGTTATACATCCCTGAGTTGTGGGGATTCTTCCACTGCTAGCCACTGCCTTGCTATAACCATGAATCATGGGTTGGCCCCAAGTTCTCTTAGTTGCCCTCTTAACGCAGTAAAGATGGGCAGACCTTGTAGTCGTTTTTCAAAATGTGCAGGATTTACAATCACAACTGCAGGGACCTTCCAGAGCTCCTCTGTTAGAGATGGGGAAAGAGAGGCTATTATTTTGTTCTTAATTCATTTGTTTTTATTGCCCTTATTTCATTGCTTTGATTTTCTCCTTTTCTGAGACATTGGCAGGGGTGGGCATCCTTACTATCAGCAGCTAACAGTCCTAAACCTTCTCCACAGAGCCAGTAGTTACACCATGACTGACACAAGGCAAAGGTTCATCCTTCTCCATTTTGTTTGTTATTGGAAAAAATAGGATGATAATCTTTATGTACTTTATTAAGGAAGCAGATAATTATAGTTTTAAAAGTTGCTCTGATATGTAAAAAAATGTGCTTCCCGTACGTATTACATGTTGCATGCTTGCAATGATTTTTGCATCCATGGGGGATCACTTCCTGGGAGGGCTGGGGGGAGAGGTGGTGAGGCTGCTATAAATGAGCAATAACTATGGAAGGCAGCAGCTTGTTCCTAAAAAAGATAAGTCTTGGATTTCATTTCTAAAAGACATTTCTTCTGGCCGATCAATTGTCTCATAAATTCCCTCTATATTTTTCTAGCAAAAGGATGAAATGTCTCCATCACTACCTGGAGAGTAGCTAGGCTGCCCTTTTGTGTCTTCATTCCCCTTCAGACTTGTTCTTAATATTAAAAAACTAATTTTATTTCCTACAGATGTGGTGGAAGGAGAGAGGGTAAATATGCAGCATGATCTGCCTTAGTCCTGAGTTCATAAAGATGGTACTGGGGGAGGCACACCACATACATTAAGCAAAACTTGGAGATAATCTATCAAGATCAATCATATGCAAATGCAACTGGATGTATCTAAAAGCAACAAAAATGTCACAAGCCAGAGAAAAACAGAAGTGTCAGCAAATGCATCATCCTTAGCAAAAAAATGAATTAGCAGAGCATATGTAATAGCAATGATAAGATAAAGGGCCAGCCACCAATTTGATGGATGAGAACAGTTTACTTGGAGAACATTATGAAAGAAGAAAATGTCTTAAAAGAGGAGCATAGTTAAGATATCTGCATCAAGGGTTGGGGATTTAGCTCAGTAGTTCTGCTGCCTGCCTTGAAAGCACAAGGACCCGAGTTTGATCCCCAGTACCAAAAAAAAAAAAAAAAAAGATATCCGCATCAAACAATCATTTGATTATACTTGTAACAATGAGGGATCAAATGGCCAAGACTATATTAAACAGTGTCTTTTCCTACCCAGCAAAGGGAAAAGAAAAATGGCACTACGTTTAGAATAATCAGATCTATTTTACTAGATAATACTGCAATATAAAGATTTTGGTGAACCTGATCAAAAACACTGCAGTTTTTATGAGGTAGAAGATAGTGGCACTGTTTGAGCAAATAAGGAAAGTGACCTGCGTACTTCTCGTAATAGTTCTGGATAAAGACCACATCTAAGATGATTTGGCTTGAGTGTCTCCCGGAGGTTTCCTGTGTTGGAATCTTGGTCCCCAGTGTAGCAGTATTGAGAGGTGGTGAGTTATTAAGAGGTGGGTCTAGTGAGAAGTGGTTAGGTCATAGGAGCACTGCCCTGGCGAAGGATTAAGGTAGTTCCCAAGAGAGTGAGTTGTTATAAAAAGAGCAAGACTGGCCTTTCCTCGCCTGCTGGCTTTCTCTTGCCATGAGATCCTGCCAAGTGATCACTCCAGCCGGTGTTCCCATCTGCCCTGAGGCCCATCACCCAAGGTTGGATCAATAGGGCCTCCTAATCTTGGGCTTGCAGCTTCCAAAACTGTGAGCTATGTAAACTTCTTTACAAATTACCCAGCCTTGGGTATTTTCTTATAGTAATGAAAAAAGCAGACTAATGCACCAATATCTTGGGAAGAAAATTGCATCAACTCTAAAATAACAACTAGGCAAGGGGGAAAACATAACTCTCCCTTACATTTGGGTTCAGTCACAAGATATTAGTTGTTTTCTATACATTTTGGCTTCTGTACCATTCTTACCCTGAGACTGTTTACATATTTTGTGGAAGAATGACAAAGTACCCATTTTTAAAATTTTACTTAAGTGGTTGGAACTGAATTAGATGCAATGGTAATTTCCAGGTGGCTCACTCAAGCTTGGGACTTGGAAGGAATGAGACTCCCAGGGGCCATGGTGAGGCAGCCTGCCTGTTACGGAGGGGGTCAGTCTGGAGTATAAAAATATAAATTGCATTCTTTAAACAGAAATACCCTTTCAAACAGAATCTCGTGTAGTAAGATCTCTGAGTACTCTATATGAAAATTTGAAAAGTATAGCTTTATCCCTTCCTGAACACAGAAAGCTCAGAGTGTGACTCACCAGACAGCAGTGAGTTTAGCATATATGCTTGTGGTAAGGGGAGAAATTTGTAACTGAGAGGTGTGTATAGTTGTTCCCTGAAAGGAGATTTGATCAGGTTCTTAAATAGATCAACTCTCTGCTGTGGACCACATGATCTCTATGCATTATTCCTGATACTCATTTCTACAGAAGGTATAATAAATTACTGTTATTGATATTAGAACTTAAATAAAATAATAGCAAAAATATAAGAACTCAAGGCAAGATGATTACAAAGTGATGGAATTAAAGGGAAAAACTGTCAGGATTTGAAGTCAGTCATACTTGGTTTGAAATCTGCCTCTTCTACTTATTTATTTAGTTGGCCCTAGGCAAATTGCTCAGCCCTTCCTTGTTTCAGTTTCCTCACTTTAAAATGAAAATAGTAATTGTAATAATAATAATAATAATATCTATTTTAAAAGGTCAGTGTGAGGATTAAAGGGCATAATACATTTGCAATGCTTAGCATAGTATCTGGTATCAAGAGAGTGTTCTGCTCAGTGCGAATAGATACTCTTCTTTCCCCCTCTCTTAGCCTCTCCCACTCCCTACCTGGTCCTGCTTCTTCTACTTTTTCAGAGCTTGAGATCAAACCCAGGGCGCTAAGCATGTTAGGTAGGCACTGTACCACTGAGATATACTGCCAGCTTGAAAGTTCTCTTCTTTAAGCCTACTTTTAAAGTATTGAATTTTGCTACATTTAAAAAAATTTTTTTAAATGTATAGTCTTTTACTACAAGATGTTTTCTTGCTTTAGTAAAGATAAATATATACATACTACACAAATATAAGTATATACATACTACAAATATATATATATACTATACATACCAATCACATTTAATATTAATAAAAACTGAAAACATTAAGATAATATTATAATTTGCTTTAGTATGATTTAGAAAACTAAAGCTATGGGGAAAATAGTATTTTGGAGAATGTAAGCTAGGTGACATTTTTATTTCAATAATAATTTGGGCTCTAACAAGTAATTATTTTTTTTAAAATCTTAATTGTGATACAATTTATCTATCATAAAATTCAGCTATTTTAAGTATACATTTGAGGACTATTTTAGAACACTTAAGGAGCTATGCAGTTATCAAAACAAAGCAATTTTAGAATGTTTGCATCACCTCTAAAAGATCAGTTACATCCATCCGCAGCCAATGCCTGTTCCCATTTCTAGTTCCAGGTACCCACTAACCCTTATTCATCATAGAAATAATCTTTTCTGGATATTTCATGTCAATAGAATCATACAGTAATTGGTTTCTTACAAATAGTTCGTTTGACTTAGCATCATGTTTCTGGGGTTCATCATGTTATGGCATTTATCATTAGTTCATTCTTTTTTGTGGCCAAAGAATATTGCATGATACAGCTATATTGCATTTTGTTTATCTATTCCCTAATTGATGGACATTAGAATTGTTTCTGCTTTGGAGCTCATATGAATAATGGTGCTATAAACATTCAGTTACATGTTTTATGTAGCTGTATATAAATCATTACTGAGAATAATACTTCATAATATTATTAAGGCTTATTTAATAATTATGTCTTATAGTAAGTCAAATGCTAAAATGTCTAGTCCAATTAGATGGATAATGATATTGTGAAAATGAGAAATAGCATCTGAAAAAGAATTATAAGGATGTTTAATTTTAAAAGAAATATTAAATTAACAGGGGTGTAACTTTATTTTTAGGTGCTCCAATATTACCTCAAGGATTATGGTCTGAACAAGAACTTCAATTGTGGAATAAGGTAAAGAATTATTGCCACTCAAATTGGTGGAAACTACACTTCATTCAAATTATTATGGTAAATGAAATAATAAATTGAGCTTTGGCTAATAAATTGAGCTTTGACTTTTTAATATTCTAATAGAATTATAATTTTTATTAAAATAAAATAGGTAAATATGAAAAAGAAACATTTAAAGTAAGAAAGCAGAAATAAGTCCTAGTAATAGAGAAATTATAATAAAAGTGAATGTGGTAAAAATATACCACTTAAAAGACAGAGTTTCTTAGATGTGGTGTTTTGTTTTTGTTTATTTAAGATCCAGAAAGAGTCACACTTGAAACAGAAAATAAAAACACACAAAAAAGCGCAGAAGGGTGGAAAATGACATACCAAGCAAATATGAATTGAAAACAATTGGAAAGCAGTCTTAATGTCTGAAAAAATAGAGTTCAAATAAACAATCATGACAAACAAATAAGGATCTTAAATGCTGAAAAAAGAATAACAGACAAGAAGATACAGCCATTATTAACATGTGCTAACAATGCGACCTCAAAATTTATTTAACAACTGGTAGAAATTTAGGGAAAAATAAGTAAACTTATAGTTATAGTTGGAGATTTTAATATGTCTCTCTCAAAAACTGATAAAGCAGATAGCTTATAAATAAATATATCAAAGATATAATCATATAATTAATAAATTTGAGCTATTAACAAATTTTATTAAATTTACACTAAACAGTATGCCCATTCATCTTGCATATAATTGGGGGCATTTAAAAAACAGGACATGTGTTAGAAAAGAAAGGAAGATTCTATAAATTAGAAAGGATTTATTTAAATGTTTTCCAAACACAATACAATGAAATAAGAAATTAATAACAAATGTGTAACTTAAGTATCTCATCTGTTTGGAAAATAAATATCATTTTTATAAATGACCCTGGGTTTAAAAGGAAATTACATAATGCTTAGAATTTAATGGCAAAGTCATTACAAGTCAAAATTTGTAGTCTACAGCTAAAATATTGACTGGAGAAAAAATATAATATATGAGCTTTCTTCTGCATATATAATTTTGCTTTTCTCCTATATATGTAAGAACTTTCTTCTTTCCTAATAAATATACGTATATTGTACGCATGTATACATTGTTTATATGTCCACATATAAACATATCTATTACATATTATATAACATGTGTGTTTACATTATATATGTGTTTCTGTTTATATAAACATATGTGTTATATGTATCTTATATATTTATATATACTTAGTTGCTAGGACAAATTACCTGACACCCACAAGTTAATGGACAAGTTTATTTAGCTCACAGTTTGTAGAGGTTTCAGTCCATAGTCAGCTGGCTCCAAGGCAGGGTGGCATGGCAGAGGGGCAAGGAAGAGGAGAAACAGTTCACGGCATGACACACAGGAAGAAGCAAGACTTCCTTCTTCTTTCCCTTTTTATTCCATCTAGGCTACAAACCTATTGGTTGTGCCACCCACACCCAGGATGGGTCTTCATTCTTCAGTTAAGTCCATCATTTGCAGCCAAAACTATGCTAGACCAATCAGTGAGCTAATCCAATATCACACACCCATAATCCAGTATCACACACCCATGAGCCAGCTACTACTCTCAAAAGCCCCACCTATGAGTATATGAGACTTTGGGGGGACATCTAGATATAAACCATAATATATACATATTCATAGTTCTAAATTTTTCTTCCCTCTTGATAAACATAATATACACATACATACATGTATATGTATATAATACATATGTACATATATATATATCAAGAAAGAATAAAATTTAAAAATAAACTAAACATTTGACTGAAAAAGAATAACAGGGAAAATTAAAAGAAATATTAATGAAATAAATTATAAAAGTAAAGGCAGAAATAAATTTTAGTAGAGAACAAACCACCTATATTAACAAGACCATACATTTTTTTCTTTCAAAAAGTTAATAACCATCAATTAGCAGACTGATTTTTAAAAACAGAAGAAAACAAAGATAAGACATAGACTGAGAAAAGGTAGACAACCAAGCAAAATGGAGATTTTAAAATATTTTCCAAAAGTATTATGGATAATTGTCCTTATATCATTGGCCAAAGCCTGTGTTCTATATTATACAGTGTTTGTAAAGCTCCTTAAAGTAAATTGCTCTCACCTTCACTTAGTTAAGAACATTCTCTTCTTTTTCTTTCTTGCTAAGAACTGTTAATCCTCAATAAAATTTAAACTTAATCAAATGCTGTAACTATGCTAATTTGAGGCCTGCAATATGCTTCTTCTATTTCAGCCTGTACTTGCAATGAATTACATTAATAAAGTTCTTGCTCTTAAATTATTGGGACTATAAGGAGACTTCATACAATTTTTTAATATAATACTAATATAAAAAATTAATACCATTTATTTTCAATAGGAAAAAGTAACTTAAAATTCTGAATTCATGAGTTCCACATCTGCAGAATTAACCAACTGTGGAATGAAAAGAGGGGGAAAAATTGCATCTGCCCTGAGCACATACAGACTTTTTCTAGTCATTTCCCTGAAAAATACAATATCAAAACTAACAATATAACAGCTATTTACATAGTATTTACATTATACTGGGAATTATAGGTATCTAAAGAAGTTTTAAAGAATGTAGGAAGATGTGTACAGATTATATGCAAATATTACACCATTTTATATAAGGAACTGGAGCAACCATGAATTTTGATATCCTTGGAAGTGCTGACGCAAATTCCCTACAGATCTTGAGAAACAGTGATGTATCATTCACAGTGGCAACCAAAACTATAAATATTTAGTTAATGGAAGCAAAAGTATACAATAAATTTATGATGAAAATTAAATTCTAATAAAGGAAATAGATGATGACGTGAATATATAGAAAGAAGTTTCATGGATGAAACATCTTCCCCAAATTAATCAGTGTAAATCTCATAAACCAATGCAATCAGAATAGTTGCTTATATTTTTAAAGAAAATTTCCAAATTTAAACTAAAGTTGATATGTAAAAATGAAGGTCTGCACATAGGTGAAGACATTTTAAGTACAAAGAGTTGAAAATAGGAACTTGCCCTACCAGATTATCAAGACATACTATAACACTGCAGTAATAAAAAAAAGAAAAAAGGTACAACAATGACACAAAACAGAGAAATGAGCTAATGAAATTGAGACTGCAACAGTTGCCATCAGTTCCCGTGTCCTTTTGGCATTTACCATTCCCAGGGAACTCCAAGCTCTCCAGATTTAAGTTTCCAATTGCAAGACCATACCTCTGCTGGCATCGTCTGTGCTTGGGCAACCAGAAGTGCCCTCACCATTGCCAGCAGCCCTCAATTGATGACCAAAAAGTTTTGATGGATAAACACTTTAGCTGCCTCTCCCCTCGGGTGAGATTCTGATACACTGTCTTCTAGAGTTGCAGGGAAAGATGGAGCCCGTTACTCGTAGTGGTCACCTGCTCAGGTAACATAGCCTTTACTGGATTCTTTGTCTTCTCTGTTTTGCTTCACTCTTCTACCAGTGTTTCATGGATCACCTCCCACATGATCTATCTGCATTCACATCCTTATCTCAAGGTCTGTTTCTGGGTAGAACAAACCTAAATCATAAATGTAACCTATAACAAAAGTACCCTAAAACTCCATGAGGGAAAGAAAGTTGGTTGAGGAATTATCTCACTGTATAGAGAAAAATAAAATGATTATCCTGTACAAAGGTAAGATTCAAGAAGATAAAAGACCTAAATATAAAAACTAAATTATAGATTCAATAACTATATTGTAAGACAATGTCTTTGAGCAATGATCAGGGAAAGACTTCTTGACTGAAAAAAAACTTCAAGCATATCAAGAGATGGAGGGAGGGGGAAAAAGAGGAGGGGAAGGGGATGAAAAAAGAGTTGAGATGTGTTATGTATGTGTACCAACTCCTCACAAGGAATATAATCATGTACTTTAAAAATGTATTAATAAAAATAAAAACTAAAAAAATATAAATCATAAGACAAAAATCATAATGAATGAATTACGTTAAGAGTAAAGGTTAAAGGTTATGGCTAGCATGCATGAGGCCCTGGATTCAATCTCTAGCATTACAAAAAAATAAATAAATAAAAATTTCTTTTAACAAAGCATGCTGGAGAAATATAAGAGCCTTTGAAAGATAGTGATAACATTTAAAACTAGTAAATATAGAATATATAAATATAAATACAAAATATGTAAGACTCCTCATCAAATCTAATGGATAAAGTTAGAAACCTAAAATAAAAAGTCAAAAGATAAGAACAATTTACAAAAGAGGAAGCCAACAAGCATCTAAAAAGATGTTCAAATTCATTGTAACAATCAAATGAAAATTATGAGAAAACAGTGTCACTTTCCCCCAAATAGACTGGCAAAAGATAGAAATCTACTTCATGGAAAATGTTAGTATGGATATAGGTTATACCATCTCTCATGCATCACTGGTGAGTGTCAACTGGTGGAACCATCTGGAAAGCAAAGTAAATCTCTTGGTGATCCAGTGTTCCCTCTTCCAATTGTAGAGCTCCCAAAATTCTCTACATGCAAAAAACATAGCAATTATGTAAGGAGGCTGACAAGATTTCTTTGTAATGGAACCAATTGGAGAGATCACAGCTGTCCATCACTGGAGAGTGGATAAACAATATATGATGGGTATACATAACAGAGTACTGTACAGCAGTTAGAAGCAACATATTAGATGTATACCCAGCACCATGGATAGATCTTACAGTGTTAAATGGAAAAAAAAGAGTAAGAGAATACCCTAGATGAAGACAGAATAGAATTAACAAGAATATATACGAAAGTATACACATCAAATACACTGGAAGAGTTATCTGTGGAAAGATGGAACTAGATGGAATGGAAATATTAGAATAATAAATAAATAAAAGATAATAATGATAATGTGCTATGAACTGAGAATAATCTTTGCATCTGGCCACCCCAAACATAAGGAAAAAGACAAGCTCGATTTCCAGTGCCAGGTATTAAATACTCTTTAATAATATGAAAATTCACAAAGTCTGTTATAAGGATCTGTGTCTTGGTACATGGCCAAAATATAAAACAATATGAAAAATAATCAAAACAGCAGATATTAATGTATAATACAGAAACATTTATTTTAGCTTGAAATCATTTGTTTCTGTGGAAAATCTTTGGAAAAGTATTTTAGATGATAAGGCTGGAAGGAAACTCAAATAGTTGTAAAAGTGCTATAAATTCTTTTACAGAAAAAAAGATATTTAAAGAAGTTAAGATGCCAAAAAGAAATTTTGCATTTCTGTAACCTGAAGGTTTGAAGAATTACAGAGCTCTTCAGACACTAGCAATACAAACTTTTCCAGCCATATACAAAGACCTAACCATTTTCAAATAAATTCACCAATGCACCCAACAGAGATCTCATAAAGCAAATAGTGGCACTCAAAACCATTAGAGTCATAAGCTGAATAAAATGAACAAATGGTTATCCAAATGGGAAGCAGGTAAGCACTGTTGCTGTGCCTTTCAAAGACGTGAGAACAAAGACTGGAAAGCTTTGCAATGACCTCCTAATTTTATTCATTAGGTTTTTAAAATTCTGATGTTTTTCTTCAGACAATGTTGATGCACTAATGAATTAATCTGAGGTTCAATGGGTCTGTGTTCTTGGACACAGGCCTAGTTCGTGGGTGGATGACATTCTCCTTGAGAGTGTGATGTCTTCTGAAAACTCCATGCATGACTATTTCAGGAAGAACCACTTCCTCCTATCCTATCAAACAGAAACCATATAGTTGGAGGCAATGTAGTATGAACTGGTCAAAATTCAGAGTGTAAAAGGGCATCATTTTTTGTGATCCCAGCTATTTGAGAGACTGAGGTGGGAGGATCACAAGTTTGATGCCAGCTATGCTAGCATACAAAAAGGACCAGGTAGACGCAAGGAATGAGTGGAATATCCAAATATTATCTAAATATTTATGATACATAGAGAAAATGACAAGTTTTGTGAGGATAAAAAGGAGGGAAACATGATATTATGCTTTGCTGTAATGTTTTATACTTCTGTAATTCTTTTTTTTTGAGAGATTGATATTTTTATTTATTTATTTTTTAACTGTATATCCTTTTATTGGTACATTTTAGGTATACAATATAATGACATTCATCATTGGAAATTTGCACCTTTATGTAATACTTCTGTAATTCTTTAAATTAAAGAGTCCTATTTTTAGGACATGGTCAACTTGGAAGCCATAAGGAACTTGAAAAATTATGACTGAAAAATATAAGAATCCCCTCCCTTCAGTTTGGGGTGAGAATACAATCTAAACTAAATGGGTCAACAAAGTATTCTGGAACTGCAAGGTGCCTCTGAGAGCTTATGTCAGAAACAAGACTCAACTCAAATCATTCCAGACACACAAGGATCACCATTTTTTCCAGTCACATTTTAAAAAGTCACCAAAGCAATAAATGTCATAAATAACTCCATGCATCCAACTCATTGCTGAACTTCTCAACAAAGAATTTTTATGATTAATATAAATCTTTTATACTACAGTTTAAAGTCTCCAAAATTTTCTCTGTATAATGAAAGTTGAGAACAGCTAATTGCTGACTATAGTTCAATAGATATTCATTATAAAATAGAACTCTTATCCAATGCTTGTTAGATCGTAGAGAACTAATGGATTGCTTATGTTGTCTTAGTTTTTCCTATATTCTATGCATCATGGAATGATCTTGTTAAATTAGGTGACATTAGATTCCTGAGTACTAAGGAACTACACATGAAGCCATTTTTTGGTCACTTCGCACATTTCTTGGGCTAAATAACAGAAGTTCTTGATGTTTGAGGCAACTTTGATGCTTATCAACTATTATTGGGGACATGGAGTCCTGTTGCTGGGACAGGTGAATCCCAATTCCAGGACTTCCTTATAAAGTTTAGGGTTTCCTCTCTTCCAAATCCAGAGTCCTAAGCTATCACAGAACTTTGCTTACTGTCATATAGGTAATATGACTTCATAAAAATCTTTCTGTTTTTTGCTATTTTCTATTTCCAGAAAGTAAATGACATTTTTGTTTTCTACAGATAAATGATGCATGTTCATCTTTTCTGTCCATTGACTCTCAGCCTCAGGTAATTTCATTTGGAAGGGTTTGTAACAAAATGTGTTTTTGTAGTGTTGAAAATCCTCATTTGTCCCTTTGGACCTTTATGAACTCATTAAAATGTGTCAACATATTAGATATTATTGCATCCTCTGCAGGTAATAATTAATACTATAAACTTGTGTTTTAAAATGCTAGAGCTTTCATCTATAAATAAAATAGGCTTACAGATAATGTACACATATTTTGGAAATTATGGAATGTCAAATTACAATGTTAATTTCAAAATAAAATTCTATGTTGAGTTAAAAATATATCTTTTGCCTAACTGAGGGCTAATATCTTGTCCTCCATTTGAGTTTGAAACCTGTCAATAAACTTAAGTACATTAGCACATAACCTTTTGTGTTGTATTTAAAATTTAGGAGCATCTTCAGAATCATTTTTATATCTGCAGTACCAGGAGGATAGAGTTTAAAGCACTCATTTAAACCCCATCAAGATAAATCAGATTTTTACTGGATTCCAGTTCTGTGTAACCTTTAAGAGCTCAGTAAATTTAATATTTGAGTTTTTTATACTTATAATGTAAATTGTAATATACTTTGATATTTTAAAAAAATTATTAATTTTCATTAACTATTTTATTATTTGATTATCTGAACAGTATTTCAAAATACTTCTTCTAAATAGAAAATAATGGATTTTGAAGACCCATAAATAAAAATAAAATATTAAAATGCCATATATGAAAAACCTTAAAAGAATTGTTGAAAATAATGACTTCTTACAAAAAGGAAGGCGGTAGAGAAAATACATTTGTTTCAAAACTTGTCAAAGCTCAATGTAATTGCCAGGCTTCATCCAGCTTTATATATGTAAGTTTATCCTTCAAATTGAGAGGCATCATTGATACATAACATGATTACATATTTTCTTTTTATTGCTGGGTATTTGTAGCATTTCTACATGGGCCATAAAAGCAGTTTTAGTGATTTTCTTCCCAGATTTTTATCAGGTGATCTGAAGGAAAACAAGTGAAAAGGATGCATCAATATTCACACTCTACATTTTCTTGTTCATTTCCCAGCTGCATGAGCTGGGAATGTGGCTCAGTGGCAGAGTACTTGCCTAGAATGCATGAGAACCTGGGTTTCATTCACAGCACTGCCCACAGAAACAAAACAAAAACAAAAACTCTGAAGAAACAAAGTCAGTCAGGCGTGATGGCACATTGCCAAATTTGAACCCAGTGACTTAATAAGAACCTGTCTAAAATTAAAAAAAAAATTTAAAGGGCTGGGATTATAGTTTAGTGCAAAGGGTCTGGTTTTAATCCCCAGAAACACACACACACACACACACACACACACACACGCATGCGCATAGAGTCAACTCTCAACTACAGGCTTAATAGACAATGCCAGTGTGCCCCAAGACTTATTTCCTAGGACACACTCTACCAACCACTACCCCTGTGTGATACTGGACAAATGACAGTGTCTTAGAACCTTGCTCCCTCTATGAACAAGAATAGCAATTCCTATCCTGTTTGTGTCCCCACACTTGTGTTTTAAAGAAAGAATGCAAATTATATATATGAAAGCCTTTGTAACTTATTGGAATACCACACAAACATGAGCTATCTTGTGTTGTTAATAAATATCCCAACAATTTACATGGTGCAGACAAATGGAAGGAAGAGAGCAAAAGCAGACCTCTGATGCTAGAAAAGATGCGCAGAGCCACTGTGTTGTGATTCCAACTATGTCTCGCTCCCAACCAGCCAAGCACTAGTTTTCAAAGGGTGAGGATATTGGTGCCCTTCACAGATCTAAATTAAGAGTACCCGCAACTGTCAATCAAACTGAAGAATTTTACCTGCCTTTAGTTCCTCCAAGAATGCCCTGCAGTGATGTCACTCCTAATTGCTGGCTGAAGAAACTGAAGTTTAGAAAGATTAGGTCACCAGCCCATAGTAACACATCTAGAAAAGAGTGGAAATGGAATTGCACTGCTATAGTGATGCAGGCTGCCGACCACATAGCCCACTCTTTTAACCACTAATCCTATCCTCCCACGCCTGTCCCTGCTCTTCATTACTTTCAAAATCAAAATCAACTGTGGTACTACTGGGCTAGATCCTGTGCAATGCAGGTTTTGCCTCTGCTTGTCCTTTTATGCTGTTCCTTACCACACCCAGGTGTCTGCTAACCACAAGGAGCCCTGCCCTACTTCTGTGCTCAAATGCTTTGACAAACCTGATCCTGGGGTGTGCAGTCAGCAAGCTGAAAGGGTGGTACTCAGATTAAGTGCACTATGCCTGCCTTCTTCTCCTCCAATTTCCATTGTTTGGGAGCAATTGCAGGATTTTCAAATTAGCCAATAATGAGTAATATTCCACCAGCCTCATGGCTTTGGCATGTAGATGCACTTTTCTACAGGCTGGGAAGACTAATCCCTATTTGGCACTGCCCTGCTTACTCTTAGTCATAGAGTTTTAGGATGTCTTAGCAAGTGCTGAGAACTATGTAACTGGACCACAGTGGAAGCCTTAATCGGTGCAGATATGCATGGTATATAGCTTTTCCCACCGTGGTTGGAAGGAAGGTTTTACTTTGTAGAAGCCAAGTTTTTTTATGAGAGAAATCAAGGGGTTCCAGTAGAGTTTCAGTGGTCCACAGAAGGGGTCCTTTCCTCAGTAGGTAGAATGTCCTGTGCTCCTAACATTCTGAGTTACAGATTCTATGCAGATACTGTGCAAGCAGACCACAGCCCATATATCTTCTTGTTTTTGTTAGGCATCTACTGCACTGAAGGAGCTTTGCTTTATGGTGATGGGGATTCTACCAAAGCCTCAGGTAACGTTGAAATAATATACTGTTTGTAGACAAAAAAATATCCCCTAAAATTTCTTGGAATTCCACCTGGAAGAGAAAATGTTCCACTTGGAAAACATGCCAAGAAGAGCTAGAAGAGGACACAAAAACTTTTAGATAAAAAACAAATACTTCAATGTAAATAGGGAAGGGGGCACAGGTAATGGAGAAAAAATAAGAACCAAGATACACCATGTACAGCTACAAGCACCCATTGATAAATCTAAACGTACTGTATACCTAAAATGTACCAATAAAAGAATTTAAGCAAAACATAACAAAAACAAATACTTCAGCTTCCCTGGTGTCTGATAATTTAGGGTCATATGAATAGAGTTTATGTTCACTGGAATGGGAAATCATAAGTCTCCTTCAAGTATAAAATGTGTTCCAATCTGATAAGAGGAATTTGTGGCTCTATTTTTCTCACTGACTCATGCCACAATTGGAGACCACATGCATCTTTCTAAGCTACTAAGTGTATCTTATTCCTTGGAGGTTAGGACACTATGCTTTGTCAGAGTAGGACATTAAGAATGCAAAACACAGCTGAGAGTTTAACTCTGGTAGAGCCTCATGAATGAGGGGCTGAATTTGATCCCCAGCATGAGGGGAAAAAAGGCAAAAATAAGATAGCAACTGTATTGTAGATATCAATTTGAAAATTACAGTTACTTTTATATTTGTTACTTTTATATTTTTTGTATTTTCTTATTCATTTGATTCTTCTGGAAAACTTTTTGTTCTAGATAAAGATACATGGCAACTTGAATAATGGCACAAGCACCATATCTTATTTTTTATTCTGTATTTTAGTACTTTATGGATAAATTTATTTTCAAACTATCATACTACAGAGCCTTGGGTATAGAATTATATTTATCATCAACAATTCTAATGAAACCTGTGAGAAATGGTACACTCTAACCACCATACCTTCCACGTGCAATAATTCAAAGAAAGAAACATTGATAGTTTGAAAGCATAAATGTTTTCTGAAGCTTTAGCTATAACTGTATATTTATCTATTTTTTCTAATGGTTACATTTTCCAAAAAATTTAATTGACTTTTTTCTAATTAAGATAAAAGAAACAACAGTGGAATTTATCATCTCTTTTTGTATTACAACCAAATGAAGCAGGGTGTGGTGGTGCATACCTGTAACCTTAGCACTTGGGAGGCTGAGGCAGGAGGATCAGGGCAAGCTTGAGGGTAGTCTGGGCTGCATAACGAGTTGAAGACCAGCCTGAATTACATAGGGAGATCTTGTCTCAAAAAATAAAATAAAATAAAAACAAGAACAAGAACAAACAAAACAACAAAAAATGAATACTCTTAGGAAAACTGGTTTTTGGAAGGAAAGAATATAGAAAAGCTTATGGAAGAAAGCAATAATCACTCATAATCTTATTTTTAGAGATAACTATTACAAATATTTTGATATGATTCAGTCTTTTTCTCTAGATTGTCTGCCAACTATTTATACTATAATTTCCCATTCTACCATTGTGGAACATTTAAGATGTTTCCAAATTTTTACTCTTACGAATAATATAGTAAGGATAGCATCCATATTTAGTTTACATCTTTAATTGTAAACAGTATTTAAATTCCCATTAATTTTTAGAACAACAAACACTTAACTGATTTTAGTCTATAATGTCCTGTGTAACATATATCATGTAGTTTTACAAAATTACATGATATAATTTTATAATATATAATAAATTTTAAACTACACAATAGTTTAAAAATATATATATGATATATATCTTTTCAATAGGAACAAGATGAAAAAGATAATACTAAAAGGGTAAGTTAATTTTCATAAATATATACATTAAAATAATAAATGAAACCACTAATCCTTTATGGTATAACTCACTTCACTTTTTTTGTAACAGTTCTTATTTCATTATTCGAAGACACAGAAGTTGGGCAATTCAAATGTTGTGGTAAGTTATAAAGTGCTTACTAGTAATCACTAGTATTTGTGTAAAAAAAAATCTGTCTTTAAAGTTTAATATAACTAGATCAAAATTCAGTTGTATTTACATTAAAAGTTTATATGTAGATGAACAAATGGAAATCAATATTATTACTATATATTTAGCTTATGTTTATGTTAATAACTACATGTAAATTAAATTAATTCATTCAGCAGTCATTTACTGAGTATCTACTATGTGCCAAGCACAATTCTAAGTACTAGAAATATAGCAGTAAATAAAACAAAATTTAAGAAAGAAACCCATGTTCTCCTTAAGTTTCTATTGTAAGGCAAACAAACAAAAACAACAAACAAACAAAAAATAAGTAAAGGACATTGTTTTGGATGGCAATTAGTGCAAGGGAAAAATAGTTTTATCCAAAAGTCTTTTAAGAATTGTTTTAAAAAATGATTATCAAAAATTTAAATCTAACTATAAATATCCTCTTCTATTTCTAAGGTCTTTATTCCTTATCAGTAATTAGGAAGTTAATGTGAGAATTTACTAAGATTAACCAGAAACCAGTAACTTTCAGTTCACTTTAAACTCATCTGGTTTTAGTGGTAGTTTTTCTTTTTATATGTATAGGTTTTAAAAATGCTAGATGGGGCTGAGGGTGTTGCTTAGTGACAGAGCATTTGCCTAGTGTGAGTGAGGCCCTGGGCTCGATCCCAGCACCAGAAAAAAAAAAGCCAACCCATCTACTCTGGTGTTTCAATCTAGAATGCTTAGTAATTATGTATTCAATGTTCTTTCTAAATTGCGATTCACTACTACAAACCAGTTTAGGGAATATGGGGAATATTTTAGGAATATTTTAAGCGTGTACCTATGGAAAGGTAAACTCCATTTTAAATGTTTATCACATGAAACATTCTTACATATAAGCAGTTAAAGTCAGGTTAAACTGGCTGTATACCAAATACAAGTTGAATTTGTAAACAGACAACCATTATATAGGGCTCAAGGTGATCTGTTTGATGAATGAATTTAATATGAGTGAGAAGGCTCAATTCAATCCCTATCTTAGGTACAGGTCTCAAGCATGCTTTCATTTTCTTCTGCTTGGTATCTTTACATTTTGAGAAAATGTATGTTACTCACATTTTTCTCTATCAACAACACATTGTCATTTTTTGGTCTCCCCTGTTGTCTTTTTCCATATGCTTTAGTTTTAAATGTACAACTTGAAAAGGTGATTACTAGGTATGTGTTTAGCCTGATATTCTGGAGAAACATATTCGTAATGGAAAACCGATGCTCACGTGTTGGCTGCATCTGAAATGAATTATTTTAAGTAGTCTAGAAACCCACAGATGGCTTTTTTGCCTCTCAAATATGCAGTGAGGGGTTTTACTTGTTGGCAGTTGGTGACAGAGCTGAGGTCCCCCCCGAAAGTGTTTCTTCAAATACTAACAAAAACCTTAGCATAGGGCTACCAAATTTTATTCCATCGCTTCCTGGCTTATTCATCACCGTTCTTTGAAGTGCTCACAAAGGGCTGGCTTAGTTAACATTTGAAATTTCCTTTTTGTTTGTGTGTGGAAAATAGAGTGGGTTAAAAACAAAAAGGGGAGCACCTTTCTGGCCAGTGCTGAGAAGCCTGTCGCTCATGGTGTGTGTGTTCATGTCCTCTCAGTCGTCTGTCGTACATCCGTTGCTGCAGCTCGTTCCACAACTGCATGAGAGAAGAATGAAGAGATTCCAAGTGGACGTATGTAAACCAAACTGCATGCTTGCTTTGCCAGTCTCTGTGTGCTGGCAGCCCGTTTCCCTGACTCCCACTTGTGACAGTTTATAAAATACTCTGCTTTGGATGAGGCCCACACTGACGAACTAGTGTCAGAGCATCTGTCTGCAGTGGTGTTGTCATTCTTGGGAAGAAAAAAGTGTTTAACTCCTCCTGCCCCGCCATGTCCTGTTGCTTCTAACTGCAGCCCTGGACAGCTAGGAAAGCTGGGGCTACACTCCCCTCCATGACTGCTCAGTGAGAAAACATGCTTGGTTTACGAAAGGACACTGCGGGATGTCTAGTCCTTAGGTAGGAAGAGGAAAGCCAGAAGAGAACAGTTTCCTGCCCTTTGTGTCAGTGTTGGGAGACAGCTAGGAGGACACACTCTGTTCAAGTATTAAAATGTTGGTAAGAGTGAGGAGTGTGTCAGAAACTAAGTGCAGACCTTTCATTTTTTCCACAGTTAACAAAAATATGACCTAAACTCAGTTCCTATGCGCAAGACAAATATAATTGAGTTAATGCCTTCTTAACTAGAAATTGTGGAGTTTCAAATTGTCATTTAAGAAGAATCCTAATGCTTGGGATGCTGAAAGCTTCTAGTAGGTACTATTCTAAGTAATGCCTTACATTATAACAACACATAATTTTCAGCCTCATTTTATCTCATTTGATTCTACTGGGGACTCTGTTAATACTCTGTTAATACATACATGCAGTATTGTTATCTCAAGTTTACAGAGGGGAAAACAACTCAGAAGAAACTTACTGGTTTCTCAAAATGAGACGGGAAAAAAAGATCACAGCACAGTCATCTGACCGTTAGCCTATGCAAATTTTTTTCACTCTGATATTTTCATTATAGTTTAATCTTGGATACTTTTGTTTTATTGCTAAGTTTTAGACTACTATTAAAAATTGAATTCAGTTCAAACTTTTCCTTAACTTCAATACTGTATTTATCTTAATCTACTTAAATTGCTACCCCAAAGCTTCAATTGCTTAAAAAAGATGCATATTGCTTAAGTAAATTTATTTTTATTATTGCTATTTCTTCCTTAAATTCTTCACATTTTAAAACTAAGCTTTCATCAAGGACAGTATCTGCGGCAAACTTTAAAAAGAAATGCAACAAATGTGATATTCCTATAAAATTTTAAAACTTCCAAAATGAATTTTTTAAAAGTCAATTGTTACAGAACTTTCTAGAAATAATATATGTCTATTTTTGTTTGGAGGGGGTTTGTTTTGTTTTTGGTTTGTTTGGTTTTTGTGTGTGTGTGTACTGGAGATTGAACCCAAGGCCTTCCCACTAAGCTACATCTACAGCCCCTGTTTATCTTTTATTTTGAAATAGAATTTCCCTAAGACACTAAATTGCCCAGGCTGGGCACCAATTTGTAATCCTCCTGCCTCAGCTTCCCAGAGTACTGGGATTACAGGTGTGTGCCACCATACCAAGCCAATATATGCTATTTTGAATTAACTTTTGCTTCTTAAAGTGTTTGCTTGGTTTATGAATAATATATAATTTCAATTAAAGATCTACATTCTCAAAATACAGTAACAGTTGTTAGTTTGACTATATCATTTCATTATTATTTATTTACTCAAAAATAATCACTCAATTTTACGACAAGTTTAGTACAGTGTTGGAATTTTCTACTTTTAGCAAAATCATCTCTATTGGCAGACAACTAGCCAAAAATGTGAACTATAACTTAGTAGTATACCCTGTCAGACAAATGATAAACCCCAAAAGTTCCCCCTGCCCAGTAGTGGGTATTGAACCCAGAGCCTCATACTCACTAGATAAGTACTATATCACCAATCTTTTTTAATTTTGAGACAAGGTCTTGTTAAGTTGTCCACACTGGCCTTGAACTTCGGATCTTCCTGCCTATTTTGCAGCAAATCAAGATTCCTGGAAATCTATGAGAGAAAAGAGTGTAAGAGCTAGGTGTGGTGGCACATACCTGTAATCCCAATACTTGGGAAGCTGAGACACGAAGATTAAACATTCGAGGACCGAGGACCGGACAATTTAGCAAGACCCTTCCTCAAAATAAAAAAAGAGCTGGGGGGACTGTGGATTTAGTTCAATGGTTCTGCTGCCTGCTGCTCAAGCGCAAGATCCTGAGTTTGATCCCGGGTACCGGAAAAAAAAAAAAAAAAAGGGCTGGGGGTGTAGTTTAGTGATACAGTGCCCTAGTACTGGAAGAAGAAGGGAGGGAGGGATGGAGGGAGAGAATATAAGAGGTGAATGAAAAAACAATAGAGTGTTAGCTGTGGTGGGACTAAGTTACCTAATTTTAAAAAAGCAAAAATTTTTAAAGTACAGTATCTTAGATTCTTGAAGAAAATGGATTTTTGAATCTTAGTATTTTTTTTTCTTGAATTTTGTTTGCTATATATCTTCAAGTTTATCCCACATTTTTTTTGCCTCTACTTCTCACATCCTTTTATATATTACTCCATCTTCAGTGATAAGACTCTAGTAAAATTTATATGTTTGGTCTTTGAAATTTTAAAATATCAGGTATATTTTAATTTTCATTTTGTTCCACTTTTTTTCTTTTCTGTTTAATGTGATATACATGAGAACTTTTCTTATATAGATATTTAAAATATAGTTTCTGTGCTTACAATTTTAAATACTAGTTTTTCAATCTTAAGTAGCTTAGGGGTTATAGTACTGATGAGAATTAAATAAAATTTGAGAATTTAAGATATATTTGTTGTAAATCAAGAGTTTAAGAATTTATATGCTAGAGACATTTCCTAGAGTTTAAGAATATGATTGTATTTATATTATGAAATGAAAAAAGTCTTAACTGATAGATTTCACGATCATTATGGTAGGTAATTGTTAATAAAAATAGGAAGCGAAAAATCAATTTCATAGAAACCAAAAATGTTAAATATTCTTCCCATGAAGTTAAAAATGACATGTTTAAGTAAAGAAACACTACATGATATACCCATTATGAATAATTGGTTTGTTCTTATTTGGTATTTTGTTGTTGTTGTTACTGTTTATGAATATTTTAGAAAAATCTCTTCTAAAGTATTAGTGGGTAAATGTAATTTATCAAAATTATCTCTCAATTGCAATCTACATCACTACAGAAATATTGTATTTTTTTTTGCTTTGACACAATTCTAGTTTATGTTTAGTTTTATATGACATTTATCTTTCTATTTACTGATGAATACACTTAAAGCTGACAAAGTTCCTGAAAGGAGAATCTGACATATTGGTAAGAATAGTGTTCTTAAATATAATATTTAGGTGATACTGGTAGTTGTTGACATTTTTTAGGTATAAATATAATGATTCTCTCCTGATAGGAATTGTTTACTCAAGTCCATGACTCTTTGCTTGTTTAGTGATAATAGTTAAAGGTAACTTTGAGCTTCACTATACTCTCAAGAAGAATTTGCACTGGTGTTGCTTATAATGCCTTCCTTTTCTCTTTTAGGAAGGATTCCGAAGTCCTTTCGCAAGTCAAAGGAGAGGATACTTTTTATTCAGGGTATGCATGTACTATACTTTTTAATCTATATCAAACTTGAAAAATTCATTACGATTTAATTATTTCAAAAGTTTCAATTAGTTCCTGAAGTTTATTTATAGATATTTGACATCCAGCATTAAAGTCTGACATTCACTCTGTCATTACCTGACTGCTTCAATACCACAGCACCTTTTATCTCTTCTCTGATTCACTACTCATCTTTGTAAATATGCCAAGTGACATTTATCCACTTGACAGTTTAATTTCCATATTCAGGAAAAAAATATATTAAGCATTCTCATTTCTTAAATTCCAAGAGATCATTCACTAAGTTTTTGATTCATTAGTTTGGAAGAGTTATGACTATTTTCATGATTCCTTAAAAGAATCAACTACAATAATAGCTTTTATTTCTATTTATAGCCTTAAGTAGAAAAAAACTGTATTTCTCCTTATAGCCTTAAGTAGAAAAAACCTTGTGATTGCATTTCTCATTTTGTATGCCCAAATTGTGGATGAAATATGTTTCTTTCTAAGACAGCTATGCTTTATGAAATATTTCCATCCTTAATACATTTGCAGAAAATTTTAGTTTGCTCATTCAACAACTATTTACTATACTTTACTGACTGCTGGCCAGGTACAAATGAATGGGAATAAAAGATAGGATTCAATTTTTACACTCTCTGAGTTCATAGCCCAATAAGAGTTTATAGCCCAATAGAGGAAACACAAGTATAGTCAGTCTGATATCCACGGGAGGTTGTTCAGTTCTCTTATATAAAATGATGTATTTGCATACCACATCCTCCTGTACATTGTAAATCATCTCTAGGTTACCTATATTACCTAACAAAGTATAAATGCTATATAAATAGTTATTATATCATATTATTTGGGGAATAATGTCAAACAATGAATCAGTGTATGTTTACTACTGACACTATTTTAAAAATATATTTCATTGTCAAAACTGGGTACAGAGGGCTGACTGTACTACATTAAATGCATCTTTAGTCTGAGGGCTGTGGAGTCCTCAAAAAACACCACTTAAGGAATGAGGAGATATAGAAAAGTTTTATTGGCTGAATCCTGAAGAACAAATAGGAATTAGTTGATAAAATATTTACCTGAAAATTTTCAACTTTACTGTGTTGGGGTCCACAAGAAACATGTGGTGAGACTGGCATTTTGGAAAATTACTCTAACAGAAATTGGAGAATGGAATGGATGAAGAAACTATATTGAAAAGGGAAAAAGTGGTACTAAAGGACTGTGACTTTAGCAAGTTAATTTTGGTTGATATCAAATTAAACGAGAACATTTCTTTACATTTTTGAGACCATCAAGTAAATAAGCAAAATCAAATAATGTCTCATTTATTGTGGTCCTCAGAAGCTTTAGCAGCACCTAAGAACCTATTAGAAGTACATATTTGGGAGTCCACCTCAGAATTACTAAATTAGAAACTCCAGCTACAGAGCTCAGCAGTACCATTTTTGTGTTGTTGAAAGCCCTCCAGGCAATTCTGATGTACATTAAAGAAACACCCCTCTATATCCTTATGATATATCAACATTCTATGAATATTAGTTTCCGTCCTTAGTTACCCTGATTAATTTCTAATTTTTTTTAGCCACACAATCGGAGAAGGTCAGCAGGTTTCATTTAAAATGGTATGCATTTTTTTGAAATGATATGTAATAGATACATAAATATGAAATGACATTTGTTTCCCAGTCCAACTCAACCTAAAAATTTCTGTTGGTTTCAAATACGGACAAATTAAACTATGTTCAGTGTATTTTTTGATTACATATGGATACTAATATTCTGTATAAATACTATAACTATAGGAACAGTGAAGGTATTGTATGATGAAAAACACCAATATTTTAAGGCCAGCTTTGTTTTCCATAGTATTCCTCAGTCCATATCACAGTCATAATCATCATAATTGATTTTAAAGATGCTGACTTCATCATGATTAATTTTTCAAGAAGTAAATATCAGGAACTGCATGCCTACTGTGGTAGTCAGTGTCCACCATATGAACCAGGACTTACAGACTGAGTATACTTTTGTTTTCCAAGTAACTCATTCTCAAAGATCCCTTGTAAAAGTATGTGATTTAATAGTTCTAGAGAATTAAGAAAATGTGGAGAGATATAAGGACATGACTTCTATTTTGCTGCTCAAATTTTCTACCCAGTGCTAAGCATAAAATACAAACTTAGTAGCCAACAGCTTTTAGGACTGACATATTTATTAACATGTGGGGTCATGGTGTACTTATTAAACATGTGGGGCCATGGCGTCTATAGCCACTGGCCCCACATGTTAATAAATATGTTAACCTTAATAATTTAATAGACTATAAATTTAAAATCAACTGAAGTTCAGATTAATAAATTTATAGCACAAAATAAAACTATATTCTACTACATTTATGTATTCTAAATCCAAATTCTATCTTTAATATATTTTTCACATATTCACTCATTTTATTTACCTCAACCCTTAAATATATTTAGCTTAGGAATGCTAAAATTCTTGCTAGATGTGGTGGTGCACACCTCTAATCCAGCACTAGGGAAGCTGAGGCAGAAAGATCATGAGTTTAAAGCCAGCCTGGGCTACATATTGAGACCTTGTCTAAAATAATAAATTAAAATTCTTAATATTTTTTCAAAGAAAACCAAATGTATCATTTCTAATTGAAGAAGATGTTAACACCAAAACACACAATAGCTAGAAAATAAGATAATGAAAACACTCCACAGTGAATCCTAGGACACTTGTCAAAGCCCCATTCAGTGGAAATTTCAAGGCTTCAACCAAGCAAGAAAGAGTTGTAACCTCAGCTACTCAGAAAGCTGAGGCTGGAGGATTTCAAGTTTGAGACCAGCCTGGGTAACATAGTGAGACCCTCATCTTAAAAAAATAATAAACAATTAAGAATTTAACTTAAGTAGTCAAAAAAGAGCAACAAGGTGACTCTCTGGAAGGTAGAAGGAAGAAAGTTATAAAAATAAAAGAAGAAATTATTAAATTAAAAAGTAGTTAAGTAGAAAACTGGTAAACAAAATCTGATTCACATTTGTTTGTTTGTTTGTTTTTTGAAACAGGGTCTCACTATGTAGTTCAGGCTGTCCTTGAACTCACTATGTAGTCCGGGCTGGCCTTGAACTTGATTCTCCTGCCTCAGCCTCCCAACTGCTGGGATTATAGGCATGCACCACCACACCCAGCTCAAAAATCTGATTCTTTACCAAAGACAAAATAAGCTAGCATATTTTGCCTAGCCTAATCTAGAGAAAAGGGCAAAACCATAAATATATAAAAAATACATATGAAAAGACAGAAATTAAATGATATAGAAGAAGTGAAAATTTTTTAAAAGAGTACTTTGCACATCTCTGCATTACATTTGTAAACCTGGGCTCTGTGGAAGATTATATTGTAAGGTAGGTTCTACCAAATTGATCTCAGAAGAAAAAAAACCCATATTAATAGCCAAGAGAAAAAAATGAAACTGTTATCAAGAAACTATCCCATTAGAAAGTACTAAGCCAATAGATTTTGAATTTTTCAGGTCAAAGAAAAAACATCTCCACATGTTTTATGAAATCAGCATAATATTAATACCAAAACCTAACAGAAAGTAGTTACCCATAAAATAAGATGATTTAACTGGAGATATACTGTATAAGAAAAGATATACAGGGTGTGACTGCAACTTTTGAAACATTCATAAATCAGATTGGCATTAATGAACTTTAGGAAACCATTTTCATATGATTAAATACTATAAACTATTGCAAAACATAGTTGTACTGAATAGGCATGTCATTAGAGAGAGACAGAGTGATAAATGTAAAAAGCATACAGACTGAAGAACAGCTGGGAAATATCTCAGTTGCCAATGTTTATTATACACTGATAAAATATTTGTAGAAATATCTATATAAAAACTATATGTGAAATACATGAAATACGTAAATATTCACATACTCATTTTCACTTGAATCTAATTCAATTTCCCTTTTTTTTTACAGGATGCCAACTAATTTTCCACAGAAACAATGTGTGGAATACATAATGTGCTGACATTTTGTTTTCTTCTCAAAAGCAATCTTCCATAAGTTTACTCTGTTGAAAATTTCTGTGTTGTGAACATTTTAAATAAAAGTTAGTTGAGATTGCAAATGTTTAATTTGTAGAAAATAAAAAGCATCTTAAAATATTTTTTCTTAGTGTTATAATGATAAATAGTGTATAGGAAAGCTGTAAATAATGATGTTCACTGGATGTCTGTGACTATTGATCATACCAGCACACACACTCATGTCACATTTGATTCAAGTCACTCATTATTTGACTGAATGAACTATTGTAGGTTATCCCATTTGGATTTCATAGCTAATTCTTAGAACATGCATACCAACTAAATATGGCATACATACTTTCTAATTATATTATTATATTATATAATTATATTATATTATTATATACCATAAAATATGGTATACATACATCAGAGGCTTTTTCTGCCAACTTGTAATATTCAATTTATCTCAAAATAGGTTGTTTCACCCTGCAACATCTGAAAGGCAACCAGTGTTGTCCATTATGAGGAAGAAAATAATCCTATTAGTAGAGAATCATAAACCTATTTGGAGAACTTTTTACATCAAATCAATATTTAATGGACATAAAATTAAGCCAGGTGGAGACTGAGTCTCTCTACCATCCCCATCCCATTCCCTTAATTTTCCTTGCTACTTTCCTTCTGACCTCTCTCGTGGATCCTACCTTCACCAAGGAAGTTGCTGGCTGATTGGAGAGATGGATCTTTGAATAAGTAAGATTAGATCTACACTTGCACATTCTTTAGATTATCTAACAAAGCTTTGTCTTCTTGATTTTGACCAGTGGTTACAGCTTACAATGTACCTTTCACTAGAAAGTTCCTGAATTTCACTTCTTCGCAGTCTGAAGGAAGAACATAAGAAGCAGAAAAGGACAAAAATGTCATTCTTCTTTAAAAAATGAATTGCCTTGACAAGGTAGGGTCTTGGGAGCAGGGTAGGCCCCTACCCTAAAGCCACAAATGCATAGGGCAGCATTAGATGATTCTGTGTACAGTAATTGAAGCTGCTTGGATTTTTGACTCTCAAGATAAGGGAATTGAATGTTAAGCCGTAATTCCTAGGGCCTCTCAAAAATCCAGAAAGACAGTTTTCTTACACATTTAAAGGCTCCTAGGATACGAAAAAAAGAGGGGGAGGAATAGAAATACCAACACATGGTCATGAAAATTGTGTTTCTAAGCATTTACATTTAACAAATTAGTGTCTTGGGCCGGGGATTTAGCTCAGTGGTTCCAGCGCCTGCCTCGAAAGCACAAGGTCCCGAGTTCCATCCCCAGTACCAAAAAAAAAAAAAAAAAAAAAAAAAAAATTAGTGTCTCATACAGACGCACAACAGAATACATAGGCTATTAGGTGTATATGATTAATATTGAGTACTAACCAGTTACAGATTAAGTGGTCCAATGTCAAACTTGTTTAAAATTGTGTCATTAAAAACATTTTTTCTTGTTTTCCAAATCCCAATGAGTGTGTCTGTAAGACCATGTATACAACCATGTGAATAACACCAAGTGTTTTCCCAATGTTCCTAGCAGCTCTCAGTTAATGTCCTCTCCTTAAGCACCAAGGAACCCACCTGTCTAGATTTCCTACATAAAACCACAGCTTCTGTCTCCTAAAGCAGTGGGTTTTCACAATGGGGTTGCAGAACTAACAGTCCCATTTCGGAATCTGATGAAAGCTCTGATCCTTAACTCCAGAAAAAAAGTAAATACATGAAACAAAACTGTTGTAAAACTGGGGGCTAGGGGGTTAAATATCCCCTAAAATCTAACTTAATATAGGCTATGGACTCCCTGAAAGATTATCCACCCCAGGAGTTTATCTCTCCACCCTTCAACACCTGGGTCTCCACAAGGATTTTATTTACTTTGCCAATAGAAAAACACTTCAATAATAATTTGTTATTGAATCCATGAGGATTCGGGGTTTGAAGAGTGCCAGAGGCTTAGAAACGACTGGTTGATTTGGTGATAAAGCAGATAGAGTAAAAGGATGAGGAATGCCAGCTTTAACATCACCAGAAAACACAAAAGGCACTACTTGAGATAGATGCTTGAGGACCTGGCAGGTCCATACCACTACCATCACCTAGGCTATGCCTTTGGGTTGCCCGGCAACAGAGCTCACGTGCACGCCTGGCCTGCGTAAGAAGTCCCCCCTTCCACTCCCCGCAGGCGTTGGAAACCTCTAGGCCTAGCGGTGTCTTCCAGCCCGGAGGAGGCTTCAGATCTCGATCCAGAGTACCTCGCCCGGGTTGCGGGGGGATGACACGGGGGCGTGAGCGGCACAGAACACCATGCAGGTGAGGTCGGAGCCCACTGGGCAACACCGGAGCACAGGCGAAGCCCTTTGCTGAACCCCAGGCTGACTGACATAAACGGAGAGGGTGGGGCATAGGGTTGGGTTCTAACATTTGTTCTTGGTAAGTGGTAAATTTTCACGTGACTCTGTGGTTTTGAAAGAAATCCAAATTAGCTCTAGAAGAAAGACATTATTTTCAATTTCATGACTTTGTTGTGTTGCTAGAGGAACTGGTCGGAGTTTTTAGTATAGCCTTTCATACCTGAATGCTAGTAATCCTACTGTCGCACTCTTTTTTAAAAAATTTCATTTTATTTTTATTAGTACATGTTTGCAGTACATTATAATTATATTCATCATGAGAAGTTGATACATATATATACATAACACGTCTTAATTCTTTTTATGACACACTGTTTCTGACTTAAGAATAGCAACATTAGCCAAGTATACTTCAATTTAATTGTCCTCTCCTACTATCTCAAAAAAAAGTCAGAAAAGAAGTCTTAACTCTTGTAATTACATGTCTTAAGGAAAACCAGTAGGAGTTTTTCCTACCTCATCACAAAAATCTTGTTAGATTTCTGCTCATTCTTTAGAAGGGCCCACAGTCTACAGCTTCCTTATTAACTAGAACCCTGTACTTTTATTTTATCTTTTCTGGTTTTGTTTTTTTTTTGAAATTTTTTTTTTGGTATCAGGGATCAAACTCAGGACTTTGTGCTTGTGAGGCAGGCATGGTGCCACTGAGCTAATTTCCCAGCCCTATTTTGTCTTTTCTTTTGCAGAATGAAAGTCTCACTTTCTGACTTGGAGAAATGATTTTCCCATCTCCTCCCCCAAATTAAAAATACTGAAATTTTTCTTGTTTTACACATTTAATTTTGGTATTTGAATATACAATTAATTAGGATATTTTACAGATAAATTACATTTAATTTTAGTGGATAATCTTTTCATGTTAATAATAGAGTCTTAGTAAGTATATTTTATATAGTGGGCAAAAACATTGCAGATTTGTCGTGAATTCAGCTGAAAGGTAACTAAGCTGGGTGTGGTGACACAAACCTGTGATTCTGGCACTTGGGAGGCTGAGGCTGCAGGATTTCTGCAAGTTTGAGGCTGCCTGGGCTATACAGTGAGTTCAAGGCCAGACTGAAATACACAGTGAGACCCTGTTTTAAAAACCAAAACCAAAATCTAATTCAATGGACAGTGAAAGCAGCAGCATATTACCTGCTCTTTATTCCTTTATTTATTCATTGATTGATCCACAGTCATTTATACAGCTCCTATGTTTGAGATATAGACCTGTTACAGAAGAACTTACTCTGAGGAAATAAGAGATATAATTAGGCATGGTAAAATGCCATTATAGTTTGAGGAAATAGATTATGGCACCTATTTCATTAGATAAAATTTCATAATTTCTAAAAGTAAAGGGAATAGCAAAAAGCATTGACTGTTACATTAAGTCCCATGGCAGCTAACTCCTGGATTTGCTAAAGAAAAACCAAAGAATTTTGAATAAATCCATAAGAATATGGTATAATGAATGTCAAGAAAGACCACTGTAGCAAGAAAAAAACTAACCCAAATTCTGCTTAAGAGATCAAATGCAATGTCTATCCGCTGGAATTAGCAATATGCAGCTTGTAGGTAACTTTAGCAGAGCAATTTTGAAGGAGCATTGGAGGCAGAAGCCAAAGTTGGAGTGGGTTGAAAGTGAATAGGATGGTGAACTAGGACTCATGTCCTAAAGAATTTGGAAAAAGTTGCCTTAATACTTAATGGACAGGAATAAAAATCTATCCTCAAGAAATTTTGGCTCAAGACACCTTTCACATAACTTGCAACCTGAGGCACACTGTTGAGTGATGCAGCAAACCTCAAACTGTGAATTTGGTATAAAAGTGTTATCTTCTGTAGTGCTCCCAAGTACCTGGAAGAAATAAATATAAGGCTTCTCTATCTTAGGTTGTGGGAGGAAGACATCCCTAGTGTAAGTCTTAAGGAATCCCCATCAATAAGTTTTCAAGAACAAGGAGAAGAAATCAAAAGTAACTAAGCACACAAGGAGAAAAAGCACCATGACCCTGAACCAAGAAAAACAGAACTGCAGTTGTGTGTGGTAGGTCACACACTCCTCTAATCACAGTACTCCAGAGGCTAAGGCAGAAGGATTTCAAGTTCAAGGCCAGCCTGAATTACAAAGACCCTTTCTCAATAAACAAACAAACAAAAGCAAGCAAGCAAACAAAAAACAGATTTGCAGAGACCTCAGGTATTAGAACAGCCAGACACAGGTTACAAAGCAACTGTGATTATTCTGTTAAAAAAAAAAAAGACCTGTCTAAAATATCTACATAGAGTAGAAGACTATAAAGAGTGGCCTTAAATTTTTGATAAAGACATTTCTATGCAGAACCAGTGAACAGTCTGGAAGCAAATTAAGAAAACAATTCCATTATAGTAATATCAAAGGAATATAACACAATACTCAGGAATAAACTTAACTAAGGAGGCCAAAACTTTGTACGCACAAAACTATAAAAATTGCTAAAAGAAATTTAAGAAGATATCAGTAATCCCAAATATATCCCATGTTTGTGGAACTTAAGACTTACTATGGTCAAAAAATCAATACTACCAATAGCAATACATAGTTTCAGTGCAATCCATGTCAAATCTAAACAACATTGTTTTTTTTTTGGTAATAAATTCTTTTATTGGTACATTGTAGGTATACAACACAATTACATTTCTCATTGGGAATTGTACCTTTACATAATGCATCTTGGTTCTTATTTT